TCATCAATATGTTTGTAGAACGATGGGAGATATTTGTTAAAGACAATGGAGCCAATGTACTTGACCAATAAATATTTCTTTGTCAGTATGTAAAAAAAATGTTATTTTTAATTTTCTAATCGGGCATTAATATCTACAATGGTCAAATATAAAGGTGTAAATTCTCTTGGGATCGCTTTACTGTAAAGGCAAAGACAATAGATATTCTGTTTATTTGTGATGTGTAGAAAGGCGACAGATCTTCTTTATATTAATTGTTGAACAGACTCGTCCATTCGCTATAAGTGTATGTATGTATGTATCTATCTACAAAGGAAGTGCCCCAATCCCATGACCTATACACGCAGCCAATCACGTTTAACGCCATCTACTCTTGACGTTATTTGAATAAGATCACTGGAATATAGACATAATATAATTGTTTGTCGTACAGATTCTCATAATTATTCCCCATGTTGACACATTTCCAATTGCAAACACAAACACACTAACATACACACACACACACACACATATATATATATATATATATATATATATATATATATATATATATATATATATATACGTGTGTGTGTATATATACACGCGTGCGCATTATGCGTGTGTATATATGCATTTTCCTATTCGTTGATGTTTATCAGAGTGTAATGCTGTTAAAGCTGATATTATTCAACATAATGCACAAGGTCATTTTATTCCCAACAGTATTAGACACGTTCTTGTGGAAAACCGTTGAGTCATACGCATTGCCGCACTGATCCACGGCGTTCGCTGTTACTGTATTATTAATTCATGTCCTTCATGGGATTAAACCTTCTCTTCACTAATCTTTTGTTCCAGTGTTTTCATTAGAATATTTTTAACCAGAAACTTTGATCATTATGACAATTTGCTGTCAATATTTCTTCTGTAGATATAAAGTGGTAACCATACAAAGAATTAATCAGTAAAGTTAATGTAATTACCGACGAAATCTCTTCGCTAACAAATATAATAAAGCATTGACCTACTAACAATTAGTCGAATGATGCGACCATTATGTTTAAAATTGTAAGATGGGTTTGATGTTCCGCAACGCTAAAGTTATATTTTGAATATTTCAAGAGAGAATATTTTTAATATAGTAATATGGTAAATCCAAGACTTTTTTTTGTTGTAAGTGTTATTCAAAATACACCTCTAGCGTTGCGACACTGCACGTTCCAACATTATCTAACCGTTAATAAGTAGCACATTCTTAAAAAAATAATCTTTCGGCCAAGAATACATTTATTTCGTCTTAGAGTTTACCTGAAATAGAAAAAAATATTAAAGCCAGATGATGAAAATGTGAAAATTTTCGAAAGTACTAGCACCGAGTATATATCTGGTGCTAGTACGTTCGAATATATATATATATATATATATATACATATATATATGAAGAAATATACGCTTAACGTGTGCTATATTTATGGGATAAAGTCCTCAATATCAGAGATAGAGCGTGTGTAAATATAAAAGTGAACATTGAAGTCAACACTTAGAGGTGACAGGCAATAACCAAAATATTAGTTAGAATATAAAAATCAAACCAAAAATCGGACGAAAAACATAGTTGTTATATAACGATAAAAAAAAAATACTACGTTACTTAAAAATCGAAAACCCAAAAAATTAAATAAAGATATGCAGTATAATAAATAAATAATAAAAAAACAAGTAAAATAAATTAATCTGAATTAATCCAGATAAATAAATAAACAAACGAACAAAGCGACCCCGATAAATTAACCGTTAGAAAAAGCAATCCAAACTAAATGAAGTAATAAAAAAATTAAAAACTGCTACTGCCAAAATAATAGTTAGAATAAACTACAGCAATCAACTCCGAAATTGAATAAATAGCTTTAGTTATCTCCCCAAACCAAAGCAAAAATATTATATAAGCGATACAAACAAATTTTTACTACGTTAATAAAACACCGATTAAAATAAAATATATAAATATATAAGATAAGAAATAAAAATAAAAATGTAAATAAATAAAATAAAAATAAATTAAATAAAAACAAGCAAAATGAATAAATAAACAAAGAAACGACTTCCGGCAAAATAACCACCGAAACAGACTACCCACAATGCACCACTGAACTGTATATATAAATAGCCGAGAAAAAAAAACGATACTCGTGGCCTGAGGATTGCGTCAATCATGAAACAGCCTGTCGCCTCTAAGTGTTGGCTTCAATGTTTGCTAACATATATATATATATATAGATAGATAGATAGATAGATAGATAGATAATATTAGTGGTAAATATACACATACATATGCAAAATATATAAATATATATACATAGATGCATACACATACATATATATTTTTTGAATAAAAAATTCCAAGAGGATAGAATCCAGGTAGAACTCAATGTCCAGGACAGAGTAAGGATATAATAAAAAGGCTTAAACACTAATGTTTAGGACCATGGAATATTAGTGTTTAAAGCTTTTTATTACATATATAAAATATATATATATATATATATATATATATATATATATATATATATATATTAAATAGTGCAGTATATATATTATATTATAAAAAGGTAATCATACAAAGAATTAATCAGTAAAGTTAATGTAATTAATGACGAAATTTCTTCGCTAAGAAATTTAATAAAGCATTAACCTACTAACCATTCGTTGAATGACGCGATCCTTATGTTTATAATTGTAAGATGGATTTGATGTTCCAGTGCCGCTAGTACTTTCGAAAATTATCGCATTTTTATCATCAGGCTTTATTATATTTTTCATTTCAGGTAACTCTGAGACGAAACAAATGTATTGTAGGTCAAAATTAAATTTGTTCTCGAAGATATTTCGCTATTAATTACGTTGACTTTACGGATTAAGTCTTTGTATGATTATCACTTTATAATATTATTTATACTGCTTCATTTAATATATATATATATATATATATATATATATATATATATATATATATATATATATATATATGGATAGATAATATTAGTGTAAATTATTATTAAAGATAAGAATCAAGATGAGTTGCTAAATCTTCGTAGTGAGATATTTTCTAAATGTAGACATAAGAAACGATTCAAAACATAAACACCGTTTTATAACGTGTTGTCTCTTATGTCAGTTCCATCTTGGTTCAATAACATCGGACATGGCATTTTAATGGAATGACTATTAAAAGACTCCCCTCTTTGAATCTTCTCTCTGTTAAATTTTAATCCGCACTTCATCTTTTGACCTTCCTGTTCTTCTCTCGTCTGTTACCCCTCTCTATAGCTTTCATTTACTCTAACATTCGTCTCACACTCTCATAAATACACTCTCGCTAAATTTTATTTTTTATTTCCGGAGTTGTTTTTTCTGTTTTCTTTTTGAATTTGTAGGTCTGATAAATTGGATCGTATTTACGATTCCAATGGAATAAATTATGACCGTGGAATATTAGTGTTTAAACCTTTTTATTATATATATATATATATATATATATATATATATATATATATATATATATATATATATATATATTACGATAAACGTGCAATCAATTTACAAATTCATGAATTATTCACACAAAAACAAAAGCAAAGGTTAATGATTTAATTGGCGAGAAATCCATCATCGCAAATAATTCAAATATACAAAAACCTCCGAATCCGTTATGAATGAATTGATCCTTGTTTCCATAAATTTCTGCCGTATTAGTTCTTATTTTTACTACAAGCTTTCGTCTGTTCCTACAGACATCTTCAGGTATAGAATAGATGTTGTTCTTGTTTTTTCTCTTAGTAATAAGAGGACAACGAAAATATATGTATTGTTGTATCCGAAAATGCTATTGAAATTGAGTTATTGTTTTTCGAGCGCGCCAGTAGCAACGCTGAGTTTGATTTAAAATTTTTAAAGGTTGTGCGTTCATGTAAATATGGTGATGAACGAATTTTCTGTCAAAGTGGCATGAACTATATTGTTCAATAATTACAGTAATGTCGCACTTATTATCCAAAAGTCGCACTTGGATCAGTTATTTAAATTACGATAAACGTGCAATCAATTTACAAATTCATGAATTATTCACACAAAAACAAAAGCAAAGGTTAATGATTTAATTGGCGAGAAATATATATATATATGTACATATATATGAATTTGAATATTCAGCTTTCCTCTTGTAAATAATTATAAAGTGCTGTGGTAAAACTATGCAGAATGTAAATCCTGTTCAGAAAAATGGAAGTCATGTCTCCCAAAATTGGCAACTACGTTTTTCTGATTTCATCTTCAAGGTTCCCGGACTAAGAAATTCCTGCGGCTTCTTCACAGCTAGGGTTTGCCCCGGATAACGGCCTTTTCCATTCCGCGTTTCCATATTAACCATTCCACTGCTCTAAAGACGAAAGAAACAAAAATGATTCTAAAAAGATTAGAATTCAATTTATCGATCCTCTTCGAAAAAAATCATTTGTTATCTGTAACGTTGAAAAGACTATTGATGCTATGATAATGGCGTTCATTTTAAAAATAGTCTGTTCGATTTATGGGTTCGGGGGCAATGTAAGTATTGATCGATTCAGCCGGTTCGATATAAAAATCGATTGCTCAGGTCCGTCAGGCCTTCTCCTTTCTTCGTTTGTAGAACAGAATTCATGACATATTTATTGCGCATGCGTGCGCGCACACACACACGAACACACATAGATGGGCTTACGGTCACATGACGTTGAAACACCGGTTCTCATACGATCACTGAAGTTAAGCATCGTGGATATTGTTCAGTTCCTAGATGGGTGACCGCTCATGAAACATTAGTTTTCGTACGTTCAACGAAATGAAGCAACGTCGACACTGGCTAGTATCTGTATGGGTGACCGCTTACGAATATCAGGTGCTGTAAGCTTGGATGTGCGGCCATATCACGTTGCTACACCGCACGCACACACGAACGATCATCGGGGGCTTACTTATGACGTTGAAACACATGTCCTCGTACGATCACCGAAGTTAAGCATTGTCGATATCGGTCAGTACCTACATGGGTGACCGCTTAGGAATACCAAGTATTGTAAGCTTAGATGTGCGGCTGGTATAAAGGGCTCACGGCCATATTACGTTGAAATACTCCTTCTCGTACGATCAATGTGTATCAAAATGTAAGCACGTCACACATTATGAAAATTTCTCGGACATTCAGCCTGGTAAATGTTGTTTAATACTGCTTATTATAAAACAGAGCATTTACTTAAATATTTGTATCTATAAACAGAATGTATAAACATAAACTGTCTTAAAATCATTGTTGGACTTTGTTCATTTCTTAATATGTGACGTCATTTGTTTACATTTGGATACGCCATGAGCAGATATGAATATACGTGAGATAATCATGGAAGATTGCAGTTTAAAAGCAGTTTAAACTGACAAAGACTATTGTTTAAAGTTGACGGACACGCATGTCTTAATTAGTTTTTAAATCGACCTTGCTAACCGAACACTCCTCTGTGGCCAAATCGGTTGAAGGCACGTGATGCTATATGACGGTTCTGTATAGGATACAGGTTCGAATCCTGTCGGAGGACGAATATTTTTTATGAAAATTTCTCGGAAATTCAGGCCGGCAAATGTTGTTTAATACTGTTTATTATAAAACAGAGCATTTACTTAAATATTTGTATCTATAAAAACAATGTGTCAACATAAAAAAATGTCTTAAAATACTAATGTGTATATACTATATATTACTATATAAAATATATTGTAGAACAGGCATATTGACTAAAATACCTATGCTGTTAGCACAGTGAATGATTTTAAAACTCTATGTCGGCACGTACATAGCAAAAGGTTGTCGACCTCTGAACAATTTATCCAATATACACTTAGCATTATTATTGTGCTACAGCGTTAAAAATAAAATGCTGACTTTTTTCAGCTTTCATTGCATTTAACTGAAATCAGATTCCATGTTTGTTTGTTTTTTATACAAATACTGTAGTGAAATATTCTACTCAAAACAAAACATAGTTCATAGAGAGTGATAGCTTACTGAATTTTTCTTTGTCTCACTCACAGACGTACCCTTTCCCTCCAGTTTCTCACACCTGATGTAGAAGTAGTAATTGGTGCTCTCTTTATATATATACTAGCAGTAGAGCCCGGCGTTGCCCGGGGATATGACAGTAAGAGATAGATCAAGTATCCACCATCATAAAGACTGAAAAATAAAATTGACAAAGACTATTGTTTAAGGTTGACGGACACGCATGTCTTAATTATTATTATTTTTTTTTTACGAATTGGTCAAACCCAAACTCAAACAAAAACATTGTTTTCAGTCTCTACCGATTGAATAGAATTTTATTATAAACAATTGTCTTGTAAATGGAATTTTTAAAGCATTCTGAATGTAAAAATAAAGAAAAAAGTGTGCAAGACAATAAGAAACACTACATACCAAAAAAACAAAAAAATGAAGTTTTGTAGAAATCGGTTGAAAAATGTAGGTAGCCTTTCTGTAATCTTTTAGTTTTACAATTTATGATTTTTACTTATTGAATACAGTAAAAAGTAGCATATTTTCCTTGTGGTGATTCATAATTAGAATTCTGATTTGAATATATTTTCCACTCGTTGTTTCTAATACAAAAATATTAACTTTATTTCGGTTTATTAATTATGATCTAACAAATCTTATTCATTTAGCCTTTCTGTAATAATAATCTTTTACAATTTATGATTTTTACTTATTGAATACAGTAAAAAAAAAATGGACACCATGTGTATTTAAAGTAGTTTCCGGTTATTATTTTTTAGTTAGGAGGACTTGTGTATGTTTAGATTTCATTATCTTTCCCTAAAGATAAAGAATTATCCGATGTTTGTATTCGTACAATCAGTAGAGATTGTTAAATTATTGTTTAAGGTTGACGGACACGCATGTCTTAATTATTTTTTTTTTTTTTTAGGAATTGGTCAAACCCAAACTCAAACAAAAACATTGTTTTCAATCATTATGAGTCTACCGATTGAATAGAATTTTATTATAAACAATTGTCTTGTAAATGGAGTTTTTAAAGCATTCTGAATATTAAAAATAAAAAAAAAGTGTGCAAGACAATAAGAAACACTACCTGCCAAAACAAAAAAGTGAACTTTTGTTTTATCGGCTGAAAAATGTAGGAAATCCGATCCCATATATAAAGGAATACACACTCACAAATAACCTGGGTTTTTAACCCGATGTGAGTTGTCCCCCTTTCATTCACAGCGATGTCTCTTCATCGTGTTTTCAAATTGATTTTGTGCAAAAACAATTGTATTTTTCCCATTTTTGGTGCTGTTAGAACCACCGCAACGTAATTTTATGTAGTCCTGTGAAGTTTTGTTGAAATCGGTTGAAAAATGTAGGAAATCCGATCCAATATATAAACGTTACAGACACACACACACACACACACACACACAATCTGCGTTTTATAATAAGTAATATATATATATATATACCTGATAAGTACTGATCATGTTTTTGTATACTTACAGAAAGTATAAAACATTTTTTGTTATCTGAAATCTTTATTTCGCCACTTAAAAATCCGTGTGAGGATTACACGATTAGCGTCATTACCTGTATCTGTATGTATACAAGATTTATTAAATTTTATATAAAACTACCTTCAGCATATATGTTATTTATATAAAACTACCTACAAGTTGTTTATGTTACCCCATTCCCAGGCTGTCCCATTTTATAGATGCTAATTAAAGAGACTGTATTCCAAAACCTGAGAAAATCTGAAACGGAAGCACTTCGAGTCCTAAGAGTTTCGGAGAAAGAATTCTCAACCTGCGTATATGTATATATATATATATATATATATATATATATATATATATATATATATATATATAATTAATGGACAAAGTCCGACAATTTATTTATTAAAGACATTTTTATGTTTAACGTTTTTTTTTTATAGATACAAAATATTTAAGTAAATGCTCTGTTTATAATAAACAGTATTAAATAACATTTACCATACAGATGTCCGAGAAATTTTCATAGAAAAATTTTCTATGAAAATTTCTATGAAAATTTTCCATGAGAATTTCTATGAAAATTTCTATGAAAATTTCTCGGACATTCAGACCGGTAAATGTTATTTAATACTGTTTATTATAAACAGAGCATTTATAAAAATACTTGTATCTATAAAAAGAACGTTAAACATAAAATGTCTTTAATATATATATATATATATATATATATATATATATATATTATAAATGGATAAAGTCCGACAATTATTTTAATTATTTTATTTTTATTTTTATGTTTAAAATTCTTTTTATAGATACACATATCTAAGTAAATGCTCTGTTTATAAACAGAGCGTTTACTTAAATATTTGTATCTATAAAAAGAATGTTAAACATTAAAATACCTTAATATATATATATATATATATATATATATATATATATATATTTTGGAAGCAATTTTTCATTAATGCATGTTTCATTAAATACACAAATATCCTTAAATGCCTGTAATTAAAAACAGAAGACATTGGTTTATACCAACGGTTTCCCATACTTAATAATTCTCGTTTTTCACTCTCGCGTGGTCATGTGTGACGTCACGAGCTGCGACACAATTTTCGCTTCCGCATCTTGTATATACGAGTTCGTCGTTGTTTTGAAATTTTTCATGCAGCAAGGGCAGACTATCATTGTTGTTTCGTCCGTGTGTTGTTTGATATATTGAAATTGTCATCTTTGATAATGGCTTATGTAAGCCGAAAGCTTAGATTGGATTTAAACATGTGTCAATATGGTGTTTTCCTTTCGTCTTTCAATGATAATGTTATCAAGCTTATCAGGCGATATGAAAGGAACTTACTTAAAATAAATAGACAAAACTTGTCTATATTATTTAATGTGATCAGTATGAAAAAGATTTATTAAATATTAATCATTAGCCACAAGACAGAAATGAAGCGCAGAAATTAAGGTTTTAAGTCCGGAATTTTCGGGCACGTCTGTGTCCTTCATCACCGATACGAGAAGTAAACAGAGAAACAGGGAAGACTCACAAACGATTGGCCTTGTGGTTTTTGTAAATCTTGTTGTAAATGGTATTATTAGTAAATTTATATATATATATATATATATATATATATATTGAATCGTAATATATATATATATATATATATATATATATATATAATTTACTAACAATACCATCTACAGCAGGTGTTACACCAGCCACAAAGACAACCGTTGGTGGGTCTTCCTGTTTTCTCTGTTTACTTATCGCTTATAAAGGACACAGACAGTTCAATACATATACATACATACATACATACATACATATATATATATATATATATATATATATATATATATATATATATATATATATATATATATATATATATATATATATATGTCTATATAACTGTAATATATATATATATATATATATATATATATATATATATATATATATATATATTATCTTGTACTTTAAATAAAAGAAAATTATTATACATGGTTAAAAAAAGTGAGCCATGATTTTTTATTATGTCAAAAAGAAAAAAAAATGTTATGGTTAAATTTCGCTCTCGTCCAACTATCCTTCTCTGGCCTTGATTACTGCAGCACATATTTTTGGCATTAGTTGCAAATGATTCTTGAAGTAAAAGTTTGATTACTGATTCCATTTTTTTGTCAATGACTCTAAAAGCTCTTTTTTCTGTTTTGTTCACTCTTCTGCCAAGTTCATAACATGCTAATTCTGGGGTCTGCTTCAAACTTTTGAACAGTAGACTATATATATTTATTTTTCTACAGAGATTTAAAAGGATTGCCGATATAGACATGTTGTGAAATATTGATTGACTAAAGTCTTGCTTTAATAAAACTGAATCTTTTTCGTCCGCGAGTCAGTCGCAGAATTTATTCTGTTGAACACACACACACACACAAAAATGATTAACTTGAAATATTTCTAATACTGTTGGGATTTTCTTTCCAATCATTTTTTAAAAGTAGTGAAAAGTTATTTAATA